ATAAATAAATAAATAAATAAATAAAACAGTCTAGCTTATGTGCCATGTAACAATGGACATAATTCCATCTGACAGCCATCCCCTGAATGCAACAATAATGGCAGCACAGAGGGGAACAGGGGTTAGGCAGGCGCAAGTTCAGCTAAGAGGAAGTCGGAAGGGAAGAGAAGGTGTTGCGGAGAGAGCGCCAGCCTTTATAGAATTTCCTGAGTTTCTTCTGCAGGGTTGCAGTTTTATAAAAGGGACAGTTGTCTGTCCCTTTTACAGAATGAAGAGTGTTTAAGCTAATCGAGCTTCTTAATGGGCAAAATACCGTTACATTTTTGTATGTATAGAGAGAAAGAGATTCAGTCAGGAAGCCCCTTAGATGAATTATCTTATTTAAGTATTGTCACGGTTTGTTAAAATGTGTTAGCCTCATGCTTGCAAATGAGGAAAATGGAACAACTGAATGAATTGTACTCAAGTTTACACACATACTAAAGGCAGAACCGGGATTCCAACCCGGGCAATCTGCCTCTGCCATCCCTGTTCTGAACTATTGTGATACTGCTTCTCTGTTTGTGGCTTGAGAGCACAATGTGTCCCCACCGGTGGTGTTTTACTTGAGTGAGATATCCATTTGTCCTTTGCCTCCGCGGCCTTCAGGGTGTTTAAACCTCCAGGTTTTTCAGAAGAGAGCACCTTGGAAAAAAGGAAGAGGCAGGGTTGTGAATCATGACCTCTCTGGCTGTAAGAGCTCAAGGCCTTTGAGGTAAAATGTTTATGGTAGCTAATTGGTAACGTAGTTCTCTGCTGGTAAGATGTGAGGATGAATCAATCTCAGCATCCTGCCCAGAAACCCCGATGCTCAAGTCAGGACCCTGGTACGTTCCCAGCAACCCTCTTTTAATTAAAGTCCCTGGAGGCTGACCCTAGTCCGCAAATCTGTCTCGGCACTGATAGGTGTAGTGGTCAATCATGTCAAGTGGTGTTTTTTCTTCTCTCGTGTAATCCATCAGTGCAGGCCACCAGCTATTGATTATTTTCAGATACGAACACATTTTGTTACCCTTATCCTGAGGAGCCGGGAGGGGCTGAGAGAGGGCGTGAAAGGGAGTGTTTCTGTCTTCCTTGAGGATGAGCTGGAGTAAAAACCCAACAGGATTTTTGCACATCCCAGTCAGAGTATCAGCATGGAAACTGGCTGCTTCAATATATAAACAAAAGAACGCCACAGAATTCAGTGTCACTGCCTGCTTAACCTTTTCTGGCAGTCTTGAAAATTTGATCAGTAAGTTATACCTGTTCTTACAGTTTCATTGGTTTTATTCTACAGCAAATGTGTAACCAAGTCAACACACGCTGTACGCTCTGACCTTATTAACGCCCTTCCCTCACCTAGTTCTATGAATCCCTATTCTTATGTAGATGAAGAAAACAAAATGACCTGCTGTTGACAGAGACACCCGTTTTTCTATCATTGCATAATTTCATGAAAAAAATATAAGGAGGCCGGGTGTGGTGGCTCATGCCTGTAATCCTAGCACTCTGGGAGACTGAAGCGAGCGGATTGTTTGAGCTCAGGAGTTCGAAACCAGCCTGAACAAGAGCGAGACCCCGTCTCTACTAAAAATAGAAAGAAATTAATCGGACAACTAAAAAATATATAGAAAAAATTAGCCGGGCATGGTGGCGCATGCCTGTAGTCCCAGCTACTTGGGAGGCTGAGGCAGGAGGATCACTTGAGCCCAGGAGTTTGAGGTTGCTGTGAGCTAGGACGCCACGGCACTCTAGCCCAGGCAAGAGAGTGAGACTCTGTCTCAAAAAAAAAAAAAAAAAAAAAGGAAAAGAAAAACAGATAAATGCATGAATTTTCGGGCTTGATTGATTTTTTTTTAGGCTCCAAGAATGCAGACAGGCCTGTGTGTGCACATGTGGTTTGCAGTTTGCTGCCCCATTTACTTTGGGAGGATTTGCGAGAGGAGCTGGATAGTCGATAGTTATTAAGGACTTACTTTTACTTGAGCAAGGTGGTATTACAATTTATTCGTTTCCCTAGTACTCTTTTTTCAGCTAAACTTTGTTCTTTTTTCTTTTCAGGGCTATGAGGGTTCTCTTATAAAGCTCACATCTAAGCAGGTAAGATTGCATATAAAATATCACCTTCTGACTTTTCTTCAGAAATGTTACTAGGGCCCAACATTCTTTTTATTCTCATTAGGATTTGGGTTTTTGTGTGTCTTTAAAATTAAGGGTGAGATCAATTAGGAATTAGCACAGGAAAATGACTCACAATTCTATAGTCTTCAGCTAGAATTTCTGGGACTGTCCCAGAGGACGGCAAACACATTGCATCCAGCATAGTATGTTGAGATTGATTTATATGTTCAAAGGAAATGATGGTTTATTATCCAAATTCACTTTTATTCCCAGCTCTTTCCTGTTTCTTTTTATGAGGTTAAACAGGCACACTTTTACAAATCGATATGCGTATCAGATGGTGAAGAATCATGCTGTTTCTCAAACCCCTAAGCAGGCAGAGTCCCAAGTCTATAATGGAGCATAGAAGGTACAGAATGGAGGTGGTAATCAGTGACTCCAGTAGTTCCTAGAAGCTCCTTGGAGATTTTAGCTATAAGCTTTTCTTTTTTCCTGCCCCCACTTTTTTTCCTAAAGCTGAACACAGGGCATACTCACCCCTTCAATCACTTTTCATCTTTCTGGCTCATCAGGAATGAGCTGTGTTGCAGGCACCCTTCTGGGCTGAAAGATACAGAGTCCAGAGGGATTATGTCCCCTCTTTATTTACTTGGGACAGTGAGCTTTACAAGCCTAATTAAACGCAGGATTTTTTAAGCCATCCCTTGGGATTTGAGATGGAAACGTTCACTTTGTAATTTCGGTCATGCAGTGAGAGTACAGGGGTGTTATCGTTGTGTCATTGTATTCCTTGCACTTACAGTGTCCCAAAAGGTGACTCGATTCTCTTTCCATTTTAAAAGATGAAGAAACTGAGGTACAGTGAATTCAGTGTAGGAAAGTAGAGCGTCTCTGACCCCAGTGTTCCTCTGTTCCCTCGCTCACTGCTGCTCACCTTCCAGCCACTTCTAGATTTTTGTTATGATTCTCTAAATCCCCTGCCCTTGAAGAAATACCCTTACCGTCCCTTAGATTCATGTTAGAAATTTGGCTAAGCCCACTGAGTCATGATTCTTTGGGACCAGCTTTCTTATTTCTCCCCATTGCCTGTGGTCATTTCCTTATCTTAGCTCTCCAGCTTGACATCACCCCTGACCCAGAAAAATCGACATCCCTGATTTTGTTTTTTCCTTCATATTTCTCTCTCTTTCCTCAGCCCGTAGGCTTTGTCAGTTTTGACAGTCGCTCAGAAGCAGAAGCTGCCAAGAATGCCTTGAATGTGAGTACTGATGATGGCATCGGAGGGCTTTCCTCCTGAGGTAGTGGGAAGTAATAGACTTCTTTGGACAGGAAGTCAGATGGAAAGAATACGACTGCTCAGTCTAACGGGGAACTCTTCATCAATTAGCCCGCTAAACAGCTTTTTCCAAGAATTGTGATCAGATGTGCAAGTTACTAAATAACATTTTGCTTCTTGGTAGCTTTTACTGAAATAACATATCTGATGATGGGAGTCTTATTTTAATTCAGTGCCATCAGCTTCCATGGTGGTACCCAGCACTGCTTGCTTTCTCCAGGGGAGATGATCAAGAGGTTAGCTTGGCCATCATGATAAAATAAAAGGCTAAGCCAAGAATACATAGAAATTTTGGCTTCTCTTATCTCATGAAGTTTTCCTTGCAGGTGTGTGGCTTTTTTTTTTTCTTCCCCTGAACAGATCTATTCTGGTTGACTGAAATTTGCATATAAGGCTTTCCCAAAAGACATTCTGCATTTTAATATAATACATTATAGTCCATTGTAATTGAGTAGAAATACCTACATTTGATTTGTAGATATCTGGTCTGCCGTCTGTTTTGAGAGTTTTTCGTGCATTATTTTAGTAAATATTTCTCCCCCTTTAGTATGTTGAAAAACAAAACAACTTAAGGAAACTGAGCCTAAGGAAGGTGGAAGGCAGCAGAATTTAGTTCCAGATGCTGAGGGCTGATCCTCAGGTGAGGAGTTGGCATGAAGTCTGGTTCCATCGTGCTCCTGGAGGTCGGCCCAGGGGGCTGTGAATAAGTGTTGATTAGAGTGGCTCAGAGTGCTCAGGGGGCCTTCTAAAAAGGCAAGTGGCCACTTGACTGATTGCAGTACCAACGCCATTGTGTAGGCCTTCTGGGAACTTACTGTCAGCCCTGGTGTTGCTGTGGGGCCTGCAAACTCCTCTCCCAGCTGTTTCTCTGAGCAGAGCATGCGAAGAGTGTTGCTGGAGACTGTTGCAGAGACCTGATATTCTGAGCACTTGGAGGCCCAAGGGAAAGCCTTTATATGAATCTGTTTACTTGGTACAAGGTTGTCACTGTGACACAGCCTTGAAGAAACAGTTTGATTGTTGTTGTTTTCTCATGTAAAGCACATTGGAGCGTCTTAGGATTCCATGAATTCAAAAGAGTCCAGAATTTTTCTGGATTTGGATTTGGACAGAATAACTGCCTGCTCGCTTTGTTCTCTCCTGTAGAACCAAGTGTAAAGCAGTTATTTATTGAGCACTAGTGGTAGACACTGAAGCACAGTGTATAACTGAGTGTCTTGGTATAAAAGTTATTATATGCTTTTTGTATAATATAGATAAAACGAAAAGTTTTTCAATATAACCCAAGTTTAAACTTAAAAATCCACACAAACACACACAAAATCCACAAATTCTATTCACGCAGTATCAGATGGGTGTCTGTCTAAATATGATATTAGAAAAATATTTAGTGAAAATATTCTGGGTCCTTTAAAGTTACGTTAGATGAAGTTTTCACCATGTTCTTTTCATTGTTCTTTAAAGGAAGTAACAGCAGCCGAAGCTTGTTCACAGAATGGGCTCTCACGGCCTTACTTCATATCTGCTGTGTGTACACAGATGACTGACTCACTGTCTGAAGAACAATAGGCTTTTAGAGTGACCTCTGTCATCTGACCCGGCAACATTCCCGTAGGCACTAGCTTGATTTTTTTTTTTTAAATAACTGAAGTTTATTTTTAAAATGTTTAAATGGTAATAATCCAACTGTGTTTCCTTGCCATACTAAATAGAGGATAGCCACCATAATTTCAGTTTTTCTTGGTTGTTCAAGGGTCAGCATTACAAATAGCAGGTATAGATCCTGCTATAATGTAGTGATTGAGGTGGTCAAGCCTGGTTGCCCTCATGCCAGCTGGCCTCAGATCACTGTGTTTTCTGGTCTTAAGATCTGGTTTTAGGTTATTCTTCTCCTTACATTCAGCTCTCTCTTCTTTTCGCTGGCAGCAAGCCTGCCTTTAGTAATATCCTCTCCTCTAATCATTAATGCCGTTTACTACTCATGCATTAATAACTTGGGGACAACCCCAAATAAAACAGATCTAGTTCTGTTCTGCGGGCCTAAGGGGAACCCTGTATTTTCCCGTGGAGTGATTAACCCGGGCTTTCTGCTGCTGAGGGGCTCACTTGGGAGCATAGGGTTATTTACTGAGCTCCTGGGTGATCTCTTTCTTGACATTTTTAACTTTGATACGTACAGTATTAAAGATATCCTAGAAATCTCTGAATGCTATAGTTGGAGTCCTAGAGAGGATGGGTGATTCGGTCAGCAAGTGTAGGTTTAGAGCTGCAACTAGGAGGCAACTAAAAGTAAGTTTCCTACGTCTCGGGCCTGTCCGTTTTATGCAACATGTTTGCTTTGTGCATGAAATGTTGCTGCGTTTTTCCTGGTGGCAATGACAAGACTAGTTCACATTGTCCAGGACCAATGGCCACAGTAAAGTTTGATATATGACCATGGGGCAGAGTTTCTTCTCTCTGCGGAGAAAGGTAATGGACTTAATCATAAACGTGCCTATTTAAGGTAATGTGCTTAATCATAAAGGTAACAGTTACCTTCTCTCTGATGCAACATATTAGGCTCTTATCAGGGTCAGCTTTTCTAATTAATGAGTTAAAAACATACGATGCTCATGGCCATTACAAAATTGTCTCCTCTCATGTCATCTGCCCAGGCTTCTCTTAAACGTTTCTCCTCACATTCCTTTGGGGAGAGTTCGATGTTGTAATGTTTTGTTTTATTCCACTATTGAGAAACTTAAGCCTCGATCCAGTAAGTTTCAGTGTTTTGAACCACTTCTCCGTGTTTGGAGCTTCTCTTCTTGTTATCATCTCTGTGTCTTGGTTGCTGTCTGGTTTACTAATTAGTATTAATAATTAGTCTTTTCCAAAAATGACTGATTTTTTAAACCCACGTATTTTCTTCCATTTTTGGACTGTGCTTCAGTTTGATAATTTTATGGAAAAACATGCTCAGATTGAATTAAGTTGTAACACTGAACTTTTAGCAGGGGGATTACTTGAACCTCCTAAAGTAAATAACAGTATGTTTTGTTTTTATAGCCAAAACTCCCAGATTGGGCAACCCAAACCCAGACTTCCCTTTAGGTTTTCTATGATCCCATTAACCCAGATGATCAGAAACCCCATCTAGTCTTTAACCCGACAGCAAAATATCTGAACTATTTTTCGCCCTTTGCACACATTAATTTTTGTCTTGGCAGCTCTTTAATGTCTGTGCTTCTGGAAGTGGGCACTGAAAATCTGAAGTATCAAATTATTTTTAGTATTTGTTTATAATTTTAGAAGCTAAATCACATCCAGTGATACTGAGAACTAACTTGGTTTAGGAAAAATCCTGATTTGTGGAAACTTTAAAAAGGAACACAGGAAACAGCAGGTCTGAGGGTAAAGATTCTGAGTAGATATGGGAATAAGCTTTCTCTCGCTGTTTCCAGCAACTGTGAGAACCTCAAAATTGCCTTTGTCATCTAGAGGAAATCTTGTTTTAATGAATGAGAATGATCTGCATTAATTTTCAGATCAATAGGCTTAAACATGATTCCTGGTTATTATTATTAATTCCATAACAGCCACTGTCTTACTGGTATTCAGAAATCGCTCATCTAAAGTACTATAATGGTTGCAGGCTCTTTAGTCTGCATGCCATTTGTTTGCTATCCTTCTTCCTCTAATTTTGAATAGTTGTTACTGGGCTACATTTTATCTTAGACTCTTATATAAATTATTGTATGAGAACTAGAGAAGTCTGATACAGTCAAACTATATACATCACAACAAATTGCGCTCACAGCTGAACATCGCTTAAGCTGGTGCAGTGACTGGCTTTACTCTTCAGACTGTGCTCTAATTAAGTGATCTCTGATTATCAGTGTACCCTGACGTTCTGTGGTTTTTTTAAAAAAAATTACTGAGATATAATTGACATACCATACGATTCTCCCATTTCAAGTGTACAGTTCAGTGTTGGTATTTTACATTATTTTTGTAATTTATGATAAAATATATTTTAAAATTTGCCATTCAAGTGAATTTAATTGTACAAGTCAGTGGCATTAATTGCGTTCACTATTTTGTGCAACCACCATCACTATCTAGTTCTAAAACTTTTTCATCAACCCAAGCAGAAACTCTGTAACCATTAAGCAATACCTCCACATTCTTCCTTGGCCCCTGGTAGCCTCTAATCTACTTTCTGTCTCTATGAATTTGCCTGTACAAATATTGGAATATTTGTCCTTTTGTTTCTGGCTTCTTAGCATGTTTTTGAGGTTCATCCGTATTGTGACATTATCAGAATGTAATACCTTTTTATAGCTAAATAAAATATTGTATGGATATATACATTTTGTTCATCTGTTGATGGAAACTTCGTATGTGTATTGTTTCTGCCTTTTGGCTATTGTGAATAATGCTGCCGTGAACATTGGCATATTAGTGTCAATGCTCAAGTCCCTGTTTTCGGTTCCTTTGGGTATATACTTAGGAGTGGAATTTCTGGATCATATAATAATTACACGTTTAGCTTTTTGTGTAGTTTGTAATTGCCAAACTGTTTTCCACAGTGGTTGGTCCTATAGTGGTTCCGTTTTACATTCCCACCAACAGTGTATGAAGATTCCAATTTCTCCATAGCCTCACCCATGCTTACTTATTTTTATTAGGTCATTAAATATGAAATGTCCGATTTTGAATGAAAAAGTTCAGCTTATATTTCAAACAAGAATCAGTACAATTGAAGCGTGCGCCTAACCTATTGACAGTTTTGTCATCTTAATGGTAGTTTATGCCAGCAGCAAAGAAGCCTGGAGAGTGCGTGGTGATGAAATCGCAAAAGGTATTTTCCACAGCTTGTTGAGAACTGAATATTTTTACTTGCAAGAAGTGGTCCAAAGCCTGGAAGAAGTGGTAGTCAGTTGGTG